TCCAAAATCAAATGGCTATACAGCTATATTGGTAGTTGTGGATAGGTTGTCCAAATATGGCCACTTTGGTCCCTTTCCTACAGCTTATACTGCGGTTATGGTAGCCAATTTGTTTTGTGATATGGTAGTTAAACATCATGGTTTTCCAAAGTCTTTGGTTTCATATCGTGATCCCATTTTTATGAGCAAATTTTGGCAGCAACTTTTTTAATTGAGTGGCACGGAATTGAATGCTTCTCCGGCTTATCATCCCCAATTCAATGGCCAATCTGAGGTTACCAATAGGTACCTTGAACAATATTTGTGTGCTTTTTGTTCTGAGCAGAATAATAGCTGGTTTAGGTATTTGTGTTGGGCCGAGCTTCATTACAACACGGCCATTCATTCTGCCATTAATATGTCTCCTTTCCAAGCAGTTTATGGCAAAATTCCAGTTTTAATTCCACCATACAGTAATTATTCAATTTCCACAGAGACAGTTGATATGATGTTACAAGATAGAGATCAGTTGTTAGCTTATCTCAAGCTCCAATTGCAACGAGCTCAACACAGGATGAAACTACAAGCTGATAGACACAGACAAGATCGCACCTTTCAAGTTGGTGACAAGGTTTTGATCAAGTTGCAACCTTATAGGCAGGTGTCGGTTGTGAGACGTTCCAATCACAAGCTGGCCAAACGTTACTTTGGCCCTTATTGCATTGAAAAGGTGATAAGTCTAGTAGCTTATCGAGTCACATTGCCCCCTGGAAGTTTGATTCATCCTACCTTTCACGTCTCTTCTTTGAAACCATTTTATGGTTCACAAGATATTAGTTATGAGCCCTTACCTATTACCAGCATACACAACAAACCTCTTCAAGAACCTGTGGCCTTACTATCATCTAGACATGTCCAGCAGAGTGACAAGCAAGCGCTCCAATTTCTGGTTCAATGGTCCGCAGTTGTCCCTGAGGATGCAACATGGGAAAATGCAGCAGACCTTCGACAAGCTTATCCAGCTTTACACCTTGAGGACAAGGTGCCTCTTAAAGGGGGAGCAGATGTTACAGATGAAGTAATTAGAGAGAAGAGTAGAAGGGTTAAGGGGTACCCATCGTGGGCTTTAGATCATGTACAATAAATATAAGGGGATACATACGTGTAATGCAGTTGTTACTAAGAATTGTATACGTGTAATAGTGCTCACATTGAGCAAGGTTGTTATGCCATGTTAGCTAACTAATTCAGTGGTTAAATACCCCACAGTGGGTATGTGTAAGGCATGCAAATAATCAATAAAGTTCAAAGGTTTCACAGTAAGGGTACGCGTCCCTTAACAGAGCCTTACTCAACAGATATATTCAAAGGGCCCAATGAAGTTTGAGTCATCCCAATATGGCCATCCTTGGTGCATCAATGGTGTTGGTTGTTGTAGTTTAATTAGTGATTTCAAATTTGAGTTTTAAGTATATATATATATATATATAGTTGTATTAAAATTGATAGAAAGAACTTTATCATCTTTCTATCATGTCTGAATGTGACCAAACTAGTTGGCTAATTGATGAATTGGTGAACAAATAACAAAAAAAAAACTATAAAATTCAGCTAAATTCGTGGGCAACGACAATTACAATTTCATGGGCACTCAAATATGAAAAGACTGTATTTTGATTTATTCTTCTAAAACTGGTTCAAAAATCCTTCTTGATATTAACTCTCACATTTTCAAATTTCTATTACTGACTGTGTTGTAAGTAATAAGTAAATTTCGTCAACTACTGTTTGTATTATTATTTTTTATACAAATGAAAATTAAACACATAATCAAATACAAACTATTTAAACCCATCACTATTAGACCAAAATTAGTAGCTTAACTACTATTTATAGTAACACTAAACCTACTCAACTTAATCTTTGTCTGAGAAAAAAGTTAAACTAAGACTCTATTTTACGAAAATAATAAATTAAGGGATTCAAAATATAATTCAACTTGGGCAAAAAAATTAAAATATTATTATTTAAATAAAAAATTATAAAAATATAATATTTTAAAATCAATTTACAAATCTCGTCCAAATAAGAGATATCATGTAGGAACTCGTCCAAATAAGAGACCAGTCTCGCCAAAAAAAGGGATCTGGCCTATTACAATGTCTCACGTATCAGATATAAAGATACTTTACTTGATCTTAGCCAAAAGGCCCAAGAAGGTGTGCTTTGACTGGTTGCAAATTCTTCTATGTATATCTGGTGCTTTTCTGCTTTATGTTGATTCAATGCGGGACTTTTCAAAGGGTGAGTAATCGATAGTACCAGATTACCAGTTGTGCAATTGTCAGCATATAAGCATTTGTCCTGTTTACCTCTCGTGATTATATGATTTATTACTTGATTTTCTATGGTTTAAAATTTGTCACTTAAATTTATTATGATTACAAAAATATATCATTTCAAAATAAAAAACTTTAAATATTTTTAATTTAATCATTAATAATGTATTTCATTAAAAACTTATTTGATAATATCATAATTATATAAAATAAAAGTCAGAAAAAAAAAGAATTTTATATTTATAAAATCATCAGAGTCTAAGTGATATATTTTTGTTATCACGATATAAGTGAAAGTTTGAAATTATAGGAGGTTAAATAATAAACTTATTTAACCACAATGGATATGAATGATAAGTTTAAAATCATAAAGGATTAAGTGATATATTATTAAACTACAAGGAGTGAAAATGAAATTTTCGCTTAAAAATATATGTTATATCGTAGAGGTTTTATCCCTTCATCACTTGTGGAAAAAAGATGGGTGCACAAATCACATTCATACCATACCAAGAATATTGACATTTTAGGATTTTACTATGTAACCAACAATATGAAGCAAAATAACAATAGGAAGCCTAATATGTTTCGAGCTAATATGTTAGATTATAATCATTTGCAAAACCGAATCCAGCTTGTTTCTGTTGTGATTTCTATTTCATAACTTGATGTCTTGAGTATACATGCATAGACTAAAGTACAGCAGCGGAGTTGGTTACTTTGAATTCAATCATCTTTATACATTTTTCAAAATTATTTTGTTGCTTAATTTTTTTAGTTAATAAGGTAATTAAGCAAGGGAATTGTTGCTTAATAATATCTATTATACATATTATTCTACTTAATCTTTGGTTGTTAAAGTTATTGGGGAAGGATATTGTAACAATCAATTAGGGTTACTATCAATATTATTACCAATCAATTTCACCGTTAGATCGATTATGTTAATCTAACGATTATATTTAATACTTTATATTTATTTCCACCTTTGTATGGTTATGATTTCTCATATTTAATGCTTTCACATTAAATATGGAGAATCATAACCATACAAAGATGGAAATAAATACAACCGTTGGATCAACATAATCAATCTAACGGTAAAATTGATTGATAATAACATTGATAGTAATCCTAATTGATTGTCAGATTATCATACCCCTAGGTTATTTAGTTAATTAGGTAATTAAGCAGGGCTACGAGATGACACTCATGTCAAAGTAATTTCATATTTTCAAGAGACAGACAGAAGAGTTTTGAGGTCCATTAGCTTTATAAGTTGAGACATTAACCTTTTTTTTTTAGTACATATGAAGGCCGAAGCCAAGAAAAGGAAAACTAAGGATTAAAAATTCTGGCTTCCTGGATCAACAGGGGACCCACGCCAGAAGGAATATTGTGATAGACAACTATATCTTCTCTAGCTTCCAAGGGATTACCCGTAAGCCAGTCCGCGCATAAATTCTTTTCTCTAGCAATATGGCCAAACTTAATTTGCCAATTCATCTTAAGCCATTCTCTAATTCTGATGACTAAGTTTGGAAGCTGATCTTGGTTTCTGTTCCTGGAGATGGCTTCAATTGCAATGAGAGAGTCGCTCTCAATCAACAGGTTCCTTGCTCCCCAATCCCAAGAAAATTGTAATCCTTTTAGGATGGCCCAAAGCTCAGCACATAAAGGGTTGCATAAGCCAATCCTATAAGAGAACCCAGCTAGCCACATGCCTCTATGGTCGCGGATCAGCCCCCCACAAAAAGCTGAACTCAGGTTATTGTTCACCACCCCATCAACATTCAATTTCTACCAGCCCAAAGGGGGGATCCCAACACACTTGGTTAAGGAGCCCAATATTGTTAGCCTGAGATTGGTTCCCCACCGCCACATAAATATCTCTGATGTATTTCGAAATAACCAGTATGGGGTTCACTGGCCTTGAGAACAAAGGTATATGAATTTCTTTATTTCTTCACATCCAAATATGCCAAATCGTGGTTATAAAAATATCCTTCCTTTCGAACACCTGGATATGCTTCCAGCCGCCCGACAGGTTGCGATACATCCAATTCTTAGCATCCGTGGAGAAGAATTCTTCAGGAATGGCGTTGACAAACCAATTCCTCCAGATAGTTTTGGCCCTGCTACAATCTCTTAGCACATGTAGGATATCTTCCACCTTGTTGTTGCAAATATGGCAGAAAGGGTTCTGCTGGCAATCCTATCTTTGGTGAGAACCCTACCATGAACTACCAACCACGCAAAGGTTCGCAGCCTCATAGGGCCTGGCCATCTCCAAAAAAATTTCCAAACATCGTCTGTTACTAGGTTGTCAAAGCCCATTACAGTCTCATAAGCCCTCTTCACAATTTGTCCATTGCTCATCTTGTGCCTCCATTTCAAATGGTTCTTCCCCCCATTTGTTTCGGACGGAAGAATGGGTCTTATGCTCTGGATAATATCTTCCTGAAGGTGCAACCGTAAGCACCCTAAATCCCAGTTCCCCGTTCGTGAGTCAACTAAATCAGCTCACCTCAGCTGGAGATCCTCATCACTAAGCGGAGAGAAGGTGAGCTCACTCAAGGGCATATCCAGATCCGTCCATCTGTCTTGCCAGAAAAGCACATCAGAACCCCTTCCCAAGTCCCAGTGCAGTGTATGAAGGAAGGCCTCCCAAATATTGCCAATTCATTTCCATAAGGTGGAGGAGTCGTAGCTCTTGGCATTAACCTCTCTTCTCCAATCCAGATTGCGGCCATACTTCCCAATCAAGACCCTAACCCACAGCTCCTCTTGGTTATTTAACAATTTCCAAGAAATTTTGTGTAAAAAGGCCTCATTATGCCCTTGAAGGCTAATGATTCCCATTCCTCCAGCCCTCTTGGGCTTGCAAAGCGTTTCCCAGTCTAGGAGGTGCGCATTCTTTTTCAGATCAATATCCCCCAAAATGAAAGCCCTTTGAAGTTTTTCAATTTCCTTACAGGTGGTTATCAGTAAAGCACCGTGCTGCATATGATATGAAGGAATGGAGCTTATCACCGATTTGGCTAAAGTAACTCTGCCAGCAAAGGACAAACAGTGGCTCTTCCAACCAGCTAATCTTTGTCTGACCCTTCTGATGACTCCTTCATAATTCCTCCTCTTATTTCTCCCATGATCTAGCATAGCCCCTAAATATTTCCCTAAGGACTCAGCCTTCTTGAAGCCGCTAGCTAGGATTATGTCTTCTTTGATCTCCTCTTGAGTGTTCTTGGAGAAGAAAATAATTGTCTTCTCAAGGCTTATCTCCTGGCCAGACATGAGGCAGAACTCCTACAAACAATCCACCATTACTTTATATTGCACTAAGCTGGCTTCTCCAAACAAGACCAAGTCATTCGCGAACATAAGATGCGATATGGAAGGGTCGTTCCTGCCAGCCCTCATAGGGTACCAAGCCTTGTTCCTAGTCTTTTCCGCAATGAGGTGTGGCAGCTTGTCCATACAAAGGACAAAGAGGTATGGTGAGATGGGGTCACCCTGCCTAATACCTCTAGAGGAAGAAAAAGGACAAAAGGACTGGACTTGTTTCCATTCCACAGGATTTGGAAATTCGGGGTCGATAAACAAGCTTGAATAATGCTAATGAGATTTCGAGGGATGCCTATCTCTTGCAACACCTGATTAATGAACTCCCAACTCAGCCTATCATAGGCTTTAACAAGGTCTATCTTGATGGACATAAACGCTTTCCCCCCTCGTTGTCTATTCATCATATGTGTCATCTCTTGGGCAATTATCACATTATCATGGATATTCCTCCTTGGGATAAAACTCGACTGGAAGGGAGAGATCAGCTTTTTCAGGAGCGGCTTTAACCTATTCACGATGATCTTGGTCACAGCTTTGTACAGGACATTACAGAGGGATATGTGCCTGAATTGTCCTAGTTTCTCTGGTCTCTCCACCTTCGGAATCAGCACAAGGAGCGTTTCATTGATTGAGGATATAGCTTCTGGGTTGCAGAAAAACCTTTACATATCCATAGAGACCCTATCACCCAGGATGGCCCAGTTCTTTTGATAAAAGGCAGCAGGAAAGTCGTCTAGCCCAGGGGCTTTGTGCGGGTTCATTTGGAAAAAGGCAAGCCTTATCTCTTCCTTTGATACCTTCTTGTTTAACTCCACCAAATCCAAGTTTTCAAGTTGAGGCCAGTTAACCGAAGTTTCTCTCCATGGGCGATTATTGAGATTCTCGGCGAAGAGCTCTTTGTAGAAGGCAGAAGCCATCTCCTTCAGATTGATCACTAATTCCGAACACATATGCCAACCTCATTTCTGAGAGCTTCTATTTTATTTCTTCTCCTTCTAGTGATAGCCATGGTGTGGTAAAACCTGGTATTCCGATCTCCGTCCTGAATCCACTTCGTCCTTGACTTGTGGTACCATAATTGTTCCTCAAGTTCAAGCAGCAACTCTAGCTCCCTTTCTCAGATCAACTTCCAGTCTTTCCAGTTTAGGGTTGTGGTAATTCTCCAAGCTTTGCTGAATCCCCTCAAGTCTGCGGAGAATATTGTTCTTTTTATGGATAATGTGACCATATGTTAAAGTATTCCACTCCTTTAGAATAAGCACCAGCAGCCTAAGATTGCCCTCCGATTCCAAGTTGTTCCTCCAGTTCTCTGTTAGGACTTGTTTGAAACTAGGATGCTCAAGCCAGGGGTAAAAGCCGGAACGGGCTATCCTCCCACTTTTCCGAGTTCCTAAAGAAACTAATTAACAAACGGTTATGGTCAGAGAGAATTCTAGGGAGAATTTTCACACCAGCCTCGTCAAACCTTATTCTCCAGGAATCGTTGGCCACAGCTCTATCCAGCCTCTTGAACACCCGGTCCAGGTGAGCAAATTTGGGGCCCTTCCATGTGAACGTAGGGCCTGCTCCACCCAAGTCCATAAGATTACAGCTATCTAACACATCAGCAAAGTCCGCACATCTGTTGAGATCCACTGGGGCATATCCCCTATTCTCATTAGACCCCAGGATCTCGTTGAAATCTCCAGCGATGAACCAAGGTTCTTTGTTTTGCACATTAAACAACATAATTTCCTCCCATAACTTCCTCCTCTTCACTATATCTGGGCTTGCGTAAACAGCCGAGAGAATGAGTGGGTCTTTGTCTTGCCAGGAGATTCTCAAATGGATACATTGGAGGCTCTTGTCGACAAGGTCAATTGAGAAGGAGGTTTGGTTCCATAAGGCCCAGATGCCCCCAGCAAAGCCCCTAGCTTCCTCAATGATGTGGTTTGAGAAGCCCAACTTGCTGATAGTTTTAAGGGCTCTAGGCCCATTGACTCTAGTTTCCAAAAGAATAACCAATTCAACTTTGTGTTTCTTCATAAAGGATACAGGCATTCCTTTAAGCCTCCTCTTAACAGCTCCTCTACAATTCCAAATTAGTACATTCATTGATCACTAATTTGAATTTGACAGAGCTTAAGGTTTCTTCCATTCCTTTTTCCCTCCGCTCCCTCAAGGCCGGATTCCAACTTAACCCCCACGAGGCTTCCTTTCACATCTGGACTGATGAACATACCACTGGATTTTCCATCTTGAGAGGCTGTGACTGTCTCCGCTAAGTTGTTCGCTCCTTCTGGTGGCTTGTGGCATTTATTCGTGGGAGACCTTCCACTGCCAACCGCCTTCAGAGTAGACGAGAACATCTCCAGCGCCCTCTCATCCTCTTCTCTCGTCATATTCCTCATAGCCTGGAGTATATCTTGCTCTTTTCTTTTCATCTCTTCTTTAGCCAAGATGAGGCTAGTGTCTAAGCCCATGTTAGGATTCCTATTCTCTTCTTTATTCCTTTCGGTATTTTTCAAAATGATGGGGGTTACGCCATTTTTCCTCATCCCTTTCTTCTCTCTTTTGCCCTCTTTGGACGAGCCTGATGTGGAGGCGGTAGCGTCTGGCACCTTGGTTTTTTTTAGGGGAAATGGCACTGACCTTTTTGTGACAGCTCCATTGTACAAGGTCTTCTTTACCCCTAGGATCTCTTTGGCTTTTTGCTTAGAGGTCAACCTCTGCGTCTCTCTCTTACCTACTGACAGGGGCTGAAAGCTAGCAGTCTCTATTGGCGCTTCAGTATATTTTGTAGTCTCATTGGAACACGTTCCTTCACCTACTTTCTCAGCCTCCTCTCTCTGCCCCTCATTAATTATGGGGTACGCATTGGGAACTGGCTTGCCACTTTTCTGTCCTTTTTCTATTATTCTTTTCTCCACCTTGTTCTCTGGCGGACTAGATCCCCTCTTCGACATGCCCTCTACCATCGCCTTTAACTTGCGACCCTTGTTTTTACGTTTCACCACCATCCATTCACCAAAGGCATCTCCACTCTCCTCTCCAAGGTCAGATATTTTGTCTTTTGACACCACTGGTGAGTCCATCTTCATACTCATATCCCTTCCTTGATTACCAGCATCCACTCCTCCAGTGCAGGTATCTTGTCTATGCCCATATCTTCCACATCCAAAGCAGATTCTGCGGAGTCCTTCATAAGCCACTAGTAGGATCTTTTCCAACACCTCGAATCCACTTCTACACATATTCTGGCGTATCTTCCTTTATCAGTATATTCTCCCTCCCCTGCATCCGACTTCCTCAGAGAGTTTTTATCCACCTTCAAAGTCTTCCCAAATAAGTTTCCACTCCTCCACAGATGTTGCGATGTATAAAACTCAAGAGGTAGCCCTGGGATTCTCAACCACACAGCCAAATGCTTACATTGGTCATCATATGGATCAAACATTGGTCTCCACCTTTGAGTGGTTACATAGTGTCCAACTACTATCCAAGGTCCCTCATGTAGCACATGGAAGTAATCTTTTTCATCATGCAAAATAATTAGAATATACCCATTGTCTAAATCGATTGTCTCGAACTTCCCTGCAAGACACTAGAGTTTGGTTAGTCTAGCCATCAAAAATCTATTGTTAATCCTTTTTCCTAATAGTTTGATGATGAGTGAATTCCTCCATTTTTTACAATCCTCTTTGTGTTGCTTCATGGAAAAACGATACACTGGACACAGCGGGTCTTTTTGGATTGCAGACTCATCTTCCTCTTACATACCATCTTCTTCCTCCTCCCTTCTTTGAATGTCCATCCAGCTTTCCTCATCGCTGCCTAAATCATCTACTTTTCCATTTAGTTGTAGGACAATATCTTTGTACGTTATCATCCTCCTATTTTGCTCTTCTCTTTTTCCATTGCCATTTCTGATATGGCATGGTTCTGTATCTCCACCACTCAGTTGCATGGCTACCTTCTCATTCGTCTTCTCTTCCATGGTTGAGTCTTCCACCCCATTTTCTTTCGGCTTCTTAATACTCCTCTCGAGCATGTCTTCTTCCTGCTCTTGTAGATCTCTTCTATTGTTCGCCTTCAGCTCGTTCATGGCTTTCTTCCAGGGGGAAGTCATCTCATAGGTAAGGTTGAGACATTAACCTTAGTCCTGAACTCTTGTGACACACCCAGGTGAACTGCACAAATGTTTATATTCTGACAACTGCACAACTAGTACTATCTATTACTCACCTTTTGAAAAGTCCCACATTGAATCAACATAAAGCAGAAAAGTACAAGCCATAAATAGAAGAATCTGCACCCGAAAATATCTGTTTTTATCAGTTTAATATATGATCGGTGAGACATTCTAACCAGCCAGATCTTGCTTTTTTTTTTGGCGAGACTCAGCATCTTATTCTAGCGAAAGTAGCATCGTCTAATTTGAACGAAATTAAATACACTAAATCTGTAAATTAATTTTAAAATTTTATATTTACGTAAATTTTTATTTAAATAATAATATTTTAATTTTTTTTCCATTCAACTTTTTTATTAAAATAAATAATGACTCCTTTTTATTTTAAATTTAGTTACCGATATCTTTTTGTTTCTTTTTTATATCTTGTTAAAAGTTCTAATACATCATCACGAGAAGCTTGAAAACCATTTGGTGAACTGTATAAGACTACACGTCCAGAAGAAACTTTCAAGAAACATCACCTATCTAGCAGTTGCTTAACCCTTCAAGCAAACCAGAAACTAATCATCATTTTATTAATGTCATTTGATTCATATAATCAAATTCTATTTATCAACAAGGACACCACCTTTTGCCAATCTATGAAATTCTCAATGCCTTCACTGAGACTCTGCAACTCTATAATGCAATGAATTCAACCCACCAAAAAAAAAAAAACAATCATATGCATGGTAAAGTTTGTTAACAATAGCACACAAATGAAGGGCAAAAGTGAACAGAAAGAAAAAAGTCCTAAAGAGAATACAGAGAGGAGATTTCATTTATCTGCTAAAGTGAAAAATTTCTTCAGTAATCCAAAACTCAGTGCATCATCTACTAAAATTTAAAAGGAAAAATAAAAAATAAAAACATTTAACTGCATTGATTTTATCCATTGATTATGGTTAATGTTACCTTAGTCCCACTTATTCTTACATTTTAGTGAAAGAGTATCTACCACTGGACCACTAAATATTTACTCAGCAAAAGTGGTAGCTAAAAATCTCAATTTAGTTGTGGAATGCATGTATAAGCTCTTGTCTTCCTTAAATTTCTGAGTAACCCATATTATGGGTTATATTACCATGGGAAAATGAATACAGAGTATTGGCAAGACCAAATTTCATACTATTAACAATCTGGACAACAATAGCACCAAAGGATAAAAGTCACTACAAGAAAAAATATTTTCACCTTTGGGGCTAACTGTCAACAATGCTTTGATCCTTACCCAAATCTGTGCCGGAATGATCTGTGGTATTATAATTTGAAGTTTCAGTTAGAGACTTGGCGGTTGACGAATCGTCGTCTCCATTTTCGGAAGCTGAGCTGGCAGCATCCATCTCCTTCCCTGGAAAGTCAATTTGGACATCTTCAGCATGTTCATTGTTATAACTATCAAAATCATGACTCCTATTTGAAGGTGACAAGTCTTCTTTCTTCACAACATTAAAAACAATTCCATTATGGATCCGTTCAGGCTGTAAAAGATCACCTTCAGTTACCATTATGCTAGATCCATTCATGACAATCCTGTTGCCATTTTCTTTCTGATCAGATTCTGTGCTCTCGGAGCTCCTATCGGGTGTCATGAGCCTTGAACTGTGGTACTGAAAATCATGAGGGTTAGCATGAGCCACCATGCCTCTATTTAGTTCAGTATTAACTTCTAAGTTTTGGACAAAGTCAATGAACAAATTTGCTGAAGTAGTTCTCATCAAAGGCCCACCAGATCTGGTCCAAGAATTCAAGTCAGCACTTTCAGATTCACTGTCACTTGCATCATGTATGTCGCGGTGGGACTTCCAGTTTTTACCAGTGGCGCTGTTCGAAGCATTGACACCTTGAAGCAATGAGGAAGCAGCATCTGTAAGAAGGCAATCTTCAAGGGAGCCAGTAGAATTCTCTCGCGCAATGACATTCCAAGACGGAATTCTTCTTGATGCACTGAATTTGACAGTATTGGACAAACCATGAGAAGTACTGGACAGACCATGAGAAGCAGCGGCAGCTCTCTCAGCACTTCTTTTGAGTCTTCTCATGTGATTGAGAATTGCAACACACTCATCAAGAGCAAGCTCAATTCCACAATTCGCTTTTATGGCTGAAAGCTTCTCCCACGTGCATCTTCTCCCTTGGTTAGCTGCCTTTTGAAGCTCTACATAAGAAGGGTTCTGTATAATTTTGGAGTACTGGAACAGGATACAGGAGAAAAGACAACATACACAAGTTAATCACTAGTACACTGAACCATCCCTATTAAACGAATGATACAGAAATAAATTCCTAAACCTCTTTTCAAATTTAAGAAATAGAACATTGATCCTCTTTCTTTCCAAGTACATTAAAATTTTCAATAACCACTAGCACTTTTCTTCAAATTGATATCTAGTTGAAGTCATTTCTTTTATCTTCAAAACAAAAAAAAAACCTAGTTTATTGATTGTTCTTAGGCACATACCTGAGCAAGTGTTGCAGGCATAACAACTGTCACATCACCCTCCCAGTCTTGAGCAAACAGCTTGGCAAGTCCACCTAATGGAAAGCCAAGTTCCAGTACTTGATTACATCTATGTTTCACCTCCATCTCTGCTAGATGAGCAAGCTACAGAATCAGAAACCACATTGGATTATTATCATTTCATATTAAGAATATTATGGCATGAGCATACTGCACATCTAATAACTAACATGTTCGATGCCTTATTGCAACGACTGTTGAAAGACACAAACATTTTCCTAATCGAGTTGGGGAAGGGAGGGTTAAATCGAAGCTGCACGACATATTTTGCATTTAAGAGTTCTTTATATGCGGTCAAAGTTCAGGTTGGAAGTCAGGCTTGTGGTTAGTTTTGGAACAAATGGCAACATATAAGATGGTTCAACAACCTGTTTTGGTCATCCAAATTCTACAGGCATGAATTTCCCCTAAAAGTTGGTCGGGAGTGGAATAGTAGGGGCAATAAAACTCCACAGGGGTTTAGCCAACAAATAACAATTACATACTGCATGATATTTCATAGACTCACATAAGCAAACACACAAAATACCCCAAATCATATTCATCAGGAAAACACAGAAAATCTAAGAGAATAAGCAGATATAAGGAAATGAAATGAAACATATGTAGTAAAACCTTTGAGGTAACTGTCTAGGACCAGGTAGTTAGTCAAACAGTGAGGAACCATTTTACACATCAACTCAGGGCTGTGTGAAGTCTTTGGTTTGAGACTGAGACAAACGGGAAATACAGAAGAGGAAATTCATTTAAGAAACTAAAATATGCAATGACAATAAACAGACACATCCATATGTATGTATTATTGTGCTTCTACAAAGGCCCAAGTCCATGAACATACCTTGGCAGCAAAATTACCTCCGTAAGCTCGTACAAATTCTTTCAATCTCAATAATGGTGCAATATGAGGATTGGCCTGACTAACAATAAAATGATTGACATTGAACAGCTCTTTCAACTGCATCATAGGTAAATCAATCTCCAAGCTACCATCCCTCCAACGTCGCACCGGTGTGGAACCCTCTTCAGGACCCAAATTAAATGGTGGATGGTAAGGGACAATCTCTCCACTTCTATCCTTTGCCATCAATTCCTGAGCCTCAAAAAGGCCAGGAAAGGCACAAGAAGCAGTGACTGCACTCCATATAACAACATGTGGTGATGTTAAGTAGTTAAGACATCTAGGTGGTTCATGTTTTCTCGGGGAGCAAACTGTAATCCCAAGAATTCGACCTGTCATGTCATAAGCTTCTTGAAATGTAAGATTGCTTGTTAGATGCCTCAGCATAATTTGCAACTGTCTAATCTCGTGAACTGCACCAAATGTTGTGACCCTCTTCACAACATTATAAATCCCACCCATTTGATCAAAAAACTGCAATGAGTGCAATGAATCCTCAAAAAAGCTTTGAAGCTCAGGCCAAGACCTAGTGGCAACAACAGAGCACATGATGGATCCTACACTTGAACCAGCAATTATCCTAGGCATAAGTTTATGTCCTACCAGTGTTTTAACTACACCCACATGAAAAGCTCCGAGGGAAGCACCTCCACTTAATAGCAAAGCAGTCCTCCCAAATGCATGTCTAGTTTCATGCATGAAAGCAAGCTTTTCTTCCAATGCAAGCTCCTCTGAATCAGAATCACACACCATTCTCAACTGAGTTGATACCTCATCAATATACTCCTTGATTAGTCTAGGCATATGAAGCCTACCTTTGTGAAGCTGAGGGTTACACATATTACCTAGATTTCTAACAAGATCAGCTCGCATACAAAATATTATATCTCTAAGAGATCCCTCTTGCCGTCGATGGCGAAGCTCTTGAAGCTTGTTTCTCACCAACTCTACATCATAAAGGTCTGATTCATTCATCTTTGGTGTCTCTTTATCAAGCATCCTAGCTGCATGAGCCCACTCCTCATAGGTCAATGCAGATCTCATCATATTTCTCCAAAATTTCCTCCTATATGCCATCTCAGCCCTTACCTTCACATTTGTGTACCGTTTCAGCAAGAAAGCAATTATTGTCATCATTGCTAATATCCCCTGAGGGTTTCTTGGATGCAACCATGATATACTGGGTGCCCAAAATCCCTTAAACCTATGGAAATTATCCAACAACACAAAAATTATCTGATGCCTCAAATGGGAGATAGACTTGCAGAAAAGAATCCTGAAAGCAATTGCTCGGCCAAGAATGCCTGAAGGGCCAATTCGAAAATGGTCAACACGAGCCTCATTGCTTATATGATCCATCTCTTGACCAAAAGCTAAAAGTACACAATACTATTCTTTGTGATTGCAAGATCACAGATTCGAATTCAAAAAATAGCTTCTTTGCATAAAAAAGTACAAGGACAAGGCTGCTTATAAGGATGGAGCCCTCTTTTACTCTTCTCACAAGTCAAAACTCTGGAGGGACCAAGCAATCTATAAGAGTTCAATAAGGAAAAGCTGGATTTTTTATGATAATATCAAAGAGTACAATCTGAAAGGCAAGGCTTTTGGCAATTGGGTGTTTCTGGTAGACTAAAGAAAAGCATATACAGTTATTGATATACACTGGAATCTCACACAATGATTAATCTTTTGGAGGTATCCTATGTTTAACCCCAAAGCTAGTGTATAAATGAATGAATAATGGAGAAAACAAGGACCCTGTCAAAGAGAAAATCAACAAAAGTTCCCAACAAAAATGAAATCAAAAGAACTTAAGCGCACACACTGGGTAAACAAATAGATTATGCATCAAAACTGTACATTTTATTTGAAGAAATAAAAACTGAAAGTACATAATAAGTGCTGAAAATCCTCTGCTTTTTTTTGTATTGTTTTAACTCCAAACCTGATGTGTAGACCTCTGAAAGACTTGGAAAAGCGATGGTTTTGAATCAAGCCCAGAAATCACACATTCGATTAAAAGGGGGCAAAATAAAATAAAAATTAAAAAAAAAAAAAAACAATTTCTGCAAGCAGAGAACAGACCCAGATGGGATATATAAGAAAAGGAATCAAATGAAAAACAGCGAGGGAAGGATCAATGGAACGGAAAGGAAATAAAAAGAAGAAAAAGTTCCCGCTAAGCCAAAGGAAGAAGGGAAGGCTTAGCGAGGAAGAGAATCTGTATATAAATGATTATGATAATTAAAATTATGAATAAATGAAAGTGAAAGCGAAGGTGCATTGGGATCTGCGAGGATGAGATCAAGAGATATCTTGTGGTGACGCGGAGGCAAGTCACAAAAGTGTTGTTATAAAAAATCACACGTGAAACTTATATCAGCGTAAAAATCAAAGAGTATGTTGAAAAATTCTAAACTCTTATCTTACATGAGAATTATAAAATCATAAAATATATATATATATATATATGAAGTTTGTATTTGTCATTTAATATGATACAACAAAGTTATTTTGAAGAAAAAAAACTACAAGAGTGTGTTGAAAAATTCTAACTCTTATGTTACATGAGAATTATAAAATTATAAAATATATATATATATATATATATATATATATATATATATATATATATATATATAGAGTTTGTATTTGTCATTTAACATGATACAACAAAGTTATTTTGAAGAAAAAAAAACTACGGCACGTAAAACGAATCTCTATAACATTACACAATCATTTTTTCTACAACATAACTCTTATAAAACTATATATATATATATATATATATATATATAAGGTTCGCTTTTTCTACAGTGAATGTAAATAACTTACTACAGTGAGCCCAAAACAACATCGTTTTGAGACAGAAATCAAAGTATTTTTGTAATTATAATTTATTTTAGGGTTATAATAGTCTTTTTCTTTATAATTCTTAATTTTTCAACCCAAAATGACGTCGTTTTGGGAATGAATATAGATAACTTATCTACATTCACTTTAGAAACATTAAAGCCATATATATATAATGGTATAAATTATATTTAAAAACTCAAACTCTTACAAATTACATGTAAGAGTTTGTAAAGTTTGAGTCTATAAATATAATTATTCTCTTATAAGATTAATATTTATTATTTTAAAAGATATAAAAATATTTTATTTTAATCAAAATTATAATATTTTACGTGAGAAAAATAGTTACGTAATAAAAATTATAACGTAAAAAAATTGAGATTTTTTAATTTAAATATTAAGTAAGAAATAATTATTTTAACAAAAATAACTATTATTTAAAAGAATAAATATTTTTTCATATATATATATATATATAATTTTTATTTTATTTACCTATTTTATCTATATTTTTTACTATTGTTCGATTATAATCCCAAGTTAAGAAAAAATAAATAGACTACGTATGAAAAAATATATAGATAAAATATCCACCTGCCTATAAAAATAAGATATTGTCGTTAGGGGGCATTTGGTACAGGAGAAATTTTTATTGTTCGGAAATCTCGATTTTCAAAAATATAATTTTTACATCCAGTTTACGATAATATCTGAAAATTTAAAATTTTAAAAATTTCAGTTTCCCGAGAATCTGAAAAAAATTCGTATACCAAACAGCCTCTTAGTTTTTTATTGAGCATAACATTTTATCTCTTAATTTTAGTATATAAATATTGGCAGGTACTTTTGCAGGAAGTGTTTACCTATGAAGCACCGACACTTCAAAAATCCTGACGTGTCGTGTCCGACACTTCTCGACACTCCCCAACACTCCAACACGCGTTATAAAAATTCAAAAAAAAAAATTCAAAGGTTGCACTGCGTGAGTTTTTAGTTCCAACTATTAGATTCGTTAGATTACTATTACTATTTTATTGAGTTTAATATAAATATTTGGGATATCTTATGTTTCTTTGCAAAAATGATTAATATTATAAGTTTAGTTTCATTTTTTTATTAAATTATTGAATATTAAATATAATATACACTACATAAATCAAAAATATTATTTAATATCATAACGTGTCCTAACGTGTCAAAATCTAATATTTTTTAGAATTAACGTGTCGGAGTGTCATGTCGTATCGTATCATGTGTCTCGTATCCGTATCGATGCTACGTAGGTGTTTACGTTGTGGAACATGGCGGAGGATAAGGAAAGTCAGTTTATAGAATGTATATAAAGATTCTATAAATATAGTTGCATTCCCTGACGAGGGAAGGATAAGGAACAGCGTGGCGCTAACAAACAAACGATTGTATCGATTAAAATTTCACATTATTTAGTAATTTAAGATTTTTATATCTATCGCTTACTTTATTAATGATAATCGAAGCCTATTTATTTAACATAGAGGATCCACTCAACTTTAGAACAAGTTAGTTTGGAAACCCAATTGCCTCGAACTTGTAAGTTGTAAATATGTAATTTTTTTGTACCATTTCCTGTATTGAACTAATTCAGTTCAACGCGTGTCAAGGGGAAGTTTGTGGTGGGAGGTCATCACCAATGAGCTAAACTACTACATCTCAATCCAAAACTTTAAAGCATTGAGTTCATGGATCCTTTCACTTATATACTCTTCAGTTAGTCCATTACCAACCAATGTGGAACTCATCACACTTGAATATCCCAACAATCTCCCCCTCAAGTGTGAAACCCACTATTAGTATGTTCCCCCTCAACCGAGTACCCCAAGCGCAAAGTACTCGACCCACCTCCTAGCCAATCAATCAGGCTAGCTCGAGCACAACTCGGCTCTGATACCAATGTCAGGCGGGTCCAGGGGGAAGCTCGTGGAGAAGGGCCACCACCAATGAGCTAAGGCTACACCAACCGTAGCAAGTGGATCCGACACCATGTCTCAACCCAAAACCTTAAGGCATTGAGTTCATGGGTCCCTTCCACTTGTATACTTTTCACTTAGCCTATTACCAACCAATGTAGGACTCATCACACTTGAATATCCCAACATCAACCAAAATATTTGAATTTAATTTTGGTTTTTATTTTTTAGTTTCTTTAAGATAATTTTTTTAAATCAATAAATAAGAATTTAGTCATTTTTTATTTAATTTAAAATACTCATAATCATAACTTATTAAAGTTTAAAGTTAAAAATATATTTATTTTTATTTATTGTAAAAATAAACTTACAACGTTATTTATTATTATTATTTATACATTACCATTTCATTAATATTGTCACATCAATTAAACAATTTACCAATTTTTATAGATTAAAATAACCTTTTTTTAAACAATATGTTATGTTCACAAGTAATATGGTACGCATATTATGAAACCTTTCCTTTAATAATAACTTATCTAGAGATTGGTTTATATGGGGATACAAATATAAATAATATTGTCTTTAGTTGTGTTGGATTGGAGAGGATACTGAATATTCGATTTGAGAATATTTGTATGCTCACAACACAAGGTCTACGAAAGACATGTTATACAAGACGGTAAATTACTATGCACCAAGAGGCTTAAGGCCAAAGAGAATTATGTATCTGCATAGTGAGAATTAAAAAAATAGGGATTATAAAATCTATAATTGAGAGACTTTACCCTTGTATATTGTTATGGACATAAGGGGCTTATTAAGTTATAAGCCCAACAAGGGACAATCCAAGATCTGAATCAGTAATAATCATGGATAGATATTCATCAAGGATACTAATCCTAATACGACAGAATAGCAAGCAGGTCTGACCCCTTATCAGAGGCACCAAAGGCTCATCCACGCTACCCACAGGTAAGGGTGAAACTGGGTCGGGCCGGCCTACAGGGACCTACGGCTTGGCCTACGTCAGGCCAGACCTGATCTAGTATATTTCGTGAAATAGGCAGTGCTTAAGCCTTGAAAAAGCTTGTATAATAAAAAGGCCGTAGGCTCACTTTTACAAGGTCTGGCCTATAAGCCTACAAGCCGACCTATATTGTACTATTTATTTTAAATAAAATAAAATAGAATAGGTATGCCTTGAAGAAAAAATAAAAGTTATAAATTTAATCAATTGCAATAATTTACAACTTAATTATATTCGATTATATTTTAATAGAAATCTGACTTTATTTTTTATGTAGGAGGAACTAACATCTCAACATGTTAGATTGTGTATATGAATATATTAAAAGATTTTTGGGACAGGTTAAATGATGTTCGTCTAGCATATGATGCTTTCTAACTTAAAAGAAGCAAGGAATTAATCATAAATGTGTGAAAATAAGTCATAAATGCAAGAAATATTGATTATTCCTTCTCAATCATTCTCTCACTCAATTTATGTGTTTTAATAGCAGGAAACGCCACAAAAGGAAGCAAAAGAGAGAAGTTCAATTTTCCAGCTAGCGCACGGTGCGCAGGACCTACGCACGGTGCGCCATTTTATGCAAATCGTCCCTATATCCTGGCGCACGGTGCGCCAGACTTGGCGCAAAGTGCGTGGACGATACTTTTTAACTCTAATCTGATGTGAATTACTCAAAAAGGATGCCCAATTGGAGAGCAATTGAAAGTAGGTTTTCCCAAAACCTAATAAAAGGATCAGAAACAGAGTAAGGAAGAACTTTTTGAAACCAAGGAAGAGAAAAACAACAAAAAGAGGGAGAATTCTTAGGAGCTTCGTGGAGTTTCAAAGATTCGATCGATCAAGACGGAAGATCTTCATGTTCTTTCTCTTCTTTAGGTTCTTAATTTTATTTTATTTTATGATTATTTTGCAGACATGAATATTTCTGGCTAGTTCTATAATTGTGGTAAGGGTCACAACCCTTGATGTGAACTCCTTGTAGTATGGTTGAAGTTTATGTTTATTTATTTAAATTGAATTTATCTTAGCTTGTTCTTCATTCTATAATTCTTTTGGAACTGATCAATCTATTAGGATTGAGAGGGTTAGGGTTTTCAATAGGGATATTAGAATTCTAATTCCTGACAAAGGGTAAGGCAACTGTTCATGTATGCATAGGGATAGGCTACATGAACCGCAAACGTTAAAGATTCGTTGATTCTAAGGGTTAACTTGAAAAAGGATTAGGATTCTAATAGAGTTAATAAG